TTAAAGTAACGCAAAGAAGTTAAGCTTAAAGGAGTATAAAGCTCCCTTGGGTTAAATAAGTAACTCTTGAATTTGTCTTCGAATAATTCGAGTATGAAGAATGCTGCACAGCAAGTTGTGGCAAGCAGTGGCCACCATATATTGTCTAGTTTCAATAATGTTCTAATGTCACGATATGCATAAAATTTCCGAAAGACCCTTTAATAATAAAATCCTAACAAATATATAAAATATGTATGTAGGTATACAAAAAAATATATTAAAAAAATTCCTTAACATTTAATAATAAAAAAAAAGTCAAACAAAGATAAAAATAAATTTAAGAAAAAATAAATCAGATATTTTGCAAACAATAGAATTTCAAAGTCACAAATTCTAAGAGAATTTCTATTTTAAACAGTTTTCCTTGGCAATAAGTATTCCATTATTTTGGAAAAGTTAAAAAGAGATTTAAAAGAAGTAATTCTCTACTTATTGGCTAAAGATAAAGCAATATTTCAAGCATTGAGCAAAATAAATTTCAATAAATATGTTAAAATTTGCTTAACAATCTTGTACTTGGTTAATCTTATTAAATTCGTATAAGTTTTTATGATTTAAACAAAAGTTTAAAAATGTTTCTATAGCAAACTTTACAATTTAAAATTAAAAATAAATATCATGAAAAAAAAACTCCTTAACATATGCAACATTTTCTCACAAAACAAAGAGAAAAAACACGAAATAAAATAATAATATTTAAATATTTGCTTAAGACAAACCTATAGAAAAGAAAAACTTTTTTAAATATACAATATATACTATTTATTCATGTATTTGAGTGTAATTTTACATTATTATACATACATATATATAAAAACAACACTCTTATACACGAGAACAGCAAGAGTGCGAAAGTTTCTTTTTTACTACGCTCATCCTTAACCTCACTCTCGTCCCCTTAAACATATGCTAACGAAAACAACTGTTAAAAAAGTATTTCGCATACAAATATTGTTGCATATGTTGAAGGCTTTACACATGCAAATATAATATAGTATATTTTTTCAGTTTTAACATTTCGTAAAAACAACACAAAACTTGCATACATAATAAGCCGAGTATTGTAGGGTTATTTTCCCTTATTTTATTTTTTTGTTAAAAATTATTTTTGGAATACTACTTTACTGTATTTACGTTGCAAGAAAAGTTATTTCGTTTTTATTTTTCTTTCTTTTTTTTTTAAGTGAAATACTTGTATATTCAAATTGTTTGTAGTTTTTTTTATTTTTTATTTCTTATAGTTTTTAAACGAGTACTTTATATACTGCTAAACAGCAAAACATGAAATATGCAAAATAATATGGACATATTCTATTTATATGTTCGTTTGATTATACTCTTCTGCATAGTTCAACTGAAGTGGGTGTATATTATAAAGAAAAAAAAAAACATTGTATGCCAACATTTACTTGTACTTATCATCGTCAACGAGGTCATGGTCGCCTGGTTATATGCAATGGAATTTCTAGTTAGGTGCCTGTATGAGCTTAGGTAAATATTAGTGTGAAAATATACACCAACCGAGTAGTGTTGTGAAATTTTTGACATGACAGACGAAATTGTCATGCCAGGAGAAGAAGAGAAAGATGCATGAAAATTTGCAAAGAGAACTAAAATCATGGCCTATTGGTTGAGTAAATAAAATACCAAAATATATTGCATACTATTAGGTGTTAAGGCAAAAATGTGTACAAGACAGCTAGAAGTTTGCTAAAATGTTGAAACCGTTAGACATGACAGAAAATACAGTGTAGAACAAAACATTTTATTAAGATTTTTTTCCTTTAAAACATATTTATATTTTAATTTTCTTTTACCGCACAAATGTCCATAACTTAAGCCTCTTAAACTTTTTCCTCTGTTTTAAAACATCTTTTTGTCTTATAATTTAAAACATCTTCATTTATTTTAACTTAAAAAAAAGCAACAAAAAAATTATCTGTTTCTGTTTTATTCTATTAGCAACAAATTTTTTATTTCATTTCACTTAGTAGCTGGTTGGCATTTAATTAAATGCTAATTGGTATATTTTCTAATATAATTAGTTTTTGCACAAAAAAAGTTAAAATTTTTAATTAATACATACTTATGAAAAATACTTAAATATTAAAAATTTACAGACAGAATAACGTAATTGCTAAGTATGAGAAGTAAACGAAGAAAAGAAAACTTTAGACAATAAAGCAATTAGAGAACACCTGACTGACCGTCAAGAAAATAATGAGTATAAAATAAAATTTAAACAATAATTAAAATACAGTTAAACGTAAGTTTAAATAAGGATCCCTATGGCATACTATGATCAATTACCTATATTTTTTGTTAACAAGGTCAAAGGTCGCATACTTTATAATGAGTTTTGCATCAAAGTAGAATTTCACCATTACAACAAGTTCTTAAAGTGTTCATTTTCAAGATTTCTGTGTAAAAATCTGTTCTGAAATGTTCTAAAGTTAATATTTACCAACAGGGTCAAAAGTCAATTTAACCCTGTTGTGATCAATGTATCGCTATATCTTGCATTTATCGGTTAATTTCTTATTTCATCAGCAGTTAAAATGGCGTGGCAAGCAGCTCTTATGTCGGAAGGAAAGGTTTTAACATGGGTTAGGTAGCTAAAGTCTTGGATATGGTTACCATTTACTCTTATGTATGGACTACACTAAGGCTGGGCTCTAGTCTTTTTACTATTATATAGACTAGTCTCAGGATTAGCCGATAGTCTACAGACAAATCTATGACCTAATCTTCGTACTAGTCTATGGACTAATCACACTAATCTCTAGACTAGTTTTGTCCATAAACTAATATGGACTTCTTGTGAAAGATATCGAAGTGCTATACGTGAACATCTGCCGTGTTGGCCTTATTTCACGGTGGTACTTTTTTAGCACTTTGTTCAAGTACTCGAGTTATCTAATCTCTGACCATTGCTGCCACGTTGCTTAACTTCCGAGATGTAAAAACATCAATTCCCTTTACCACTACGCAAATGGGATGGACTCTGTTAGTACAGACGTACCGAAACACGAATCCATCAAATAAGCCGAGTACTTTGTTCTTACTCACAGAAGAACACACTATGGTAAATCTGGTATAAACAGTGTTTTCTCTGAACATACCTGGACAAGGTAGGAAAATTCAATAATATCACTTATATAAGATACCCAGCACACTTTTCATCATCCAACACACTCATAGAGAACAACATTCGGTAGACTCACTTTAGGTATAAGGCCGGGTAAGTTCCGTATGCTCTTACATTCATCGTGTAGTCCATCCTTAGTCCCATAGTAAATCCTCTGTGGGGTATCTGTTGACTTCGGCAACAGCGCCGAACTTATCCCGATTTTTAGACTTTACCGAGCATCAGTCTTTTAACCGAAATTATCTCCCCGCGAATTTGGGGTTAAACTACAGGACCTCTCCAATAATCGGGACAAGACATAGTCTGAAACTTTGTCATGTGGGCTACCGGTTCCCGTGGTACCAGATTATGTGGTTGTCTGGTTCGATCCCAAGTCAAATCATTCCAAGGAAAGGCCGATGATACATTTGAACATCACTAGTTTATAGTCCCGGCAGACTATAAGTACTTTTTTCATTTCCCCAGGATAGCAATCACACCAAGATTGGATCTTTCATTCCCCCGGTGGGAGACTACATGTAAAAGTTTGTAATATAAAAACAAGACTAATATGGACTACTTTGTTGACTAAAACGTGACTTTGTGCAGCAGAATTTTATCGTCTTACTAGTAAATTATGAACTTCAAGTAATATTCTAAAGGGGACTTTTTTGCGGGAGCTAGGGTCAAATGAGGACCGATCATTAACATTTAGACTTACAAAAAACTAAGTTGTGTTGATTTTTGAAGAGATACGAGAACATTTAACGTACATAATTATTGCCTACAGTTATATGGGGGCTAGGTGAAATAATAGACCGATTTAAACCATTGCAATAGGTCTCGTCCTTGGGCCAAGAGAAAAGTATGTGCAAAATTTCATAAAAGGACCTTGAAAACCTGTAGCGTACGCACAAGATTTACATAGTGACACAGGCGGACAGACAGACTGACGGATGGACGGACATAACTTAAGCGACTTAACAGACAGTGCTTCTAAGCCGATTGGTATACTTTAAGGGTGTAGGGCCAATATTCTTGCGTGTTACAAACATCAGCACAAACTATAGTGGTGTAGGATATAAAAATACTTAATATGTTGAAAGGTAATTTTCAATATCAAAAATACTGATAAAAGTACAATAGTAGTAAATTTAGTAGTAACACCCAATACCCTTTACCATCTCCCTAAAGGGTTAATGATGCACAAACTCTAAACAGCCACAAACAAGTATGTAATGGCAACAAGTAGGAAAATACAAACAGAAAGACGTTGCAACATAGTAACAATTAAAATAATGATGTTTTTTCATCTTGCTTATGTTAAAAAGGATATAAACATAACATCCTTAGATACCAAACGTCACAAACATAAACATGAAGCATACAAGGATATACATACATATGTATACATACAAGAGTATTAAAATAATTGAAAGCAAGAAAAAAAATCCTGTTAAAGTTCATGAAGCAGCAGCAACAGTATGTTGTAGTAGTAGTAGTAGAGAATATGAAATTTCACAATACAAGGATATTAATTATACTAATATTTAAAAGTCAGTTAGGTAAGTCAAAAACACACACACACAAAATTAATTGTAAATTTTGTTATATGTATATGTAAATAAGAAAGTAGAGAGATTTGTCATACATTTATATATTTTAAATAAAATATAAACTTAGCTAGAGTTTAGGTTATAAGAAATAGCCTAAAAGTAGGCTTTAGTTTTTTAAACTCTTAACTAAAGTTTAAACTTTGATGTGTTTTTTTGTTAAACCTAGTTTGAAAATCTTAAAAATATAATATTAAAAAAATTAAACATGCACCCACCTCTATTTTACGTCCCTCAACCACGGTACCATGTAGACGTTCACGTGCTCGTTCCGCATCATTGCTGTTAGCGAATGTTACAAAACCAAATCCCTGTGAGTTTATATGTGATTTATATTTTTATATAATTTTTTTTTTGTTTTTAATTTATATTTTTCATTTTCATTTGTTTATTATTTTAAATTTTGCACATTCCATTAACAAGTAAGAAAAAAAAAACGTAAAAAATATTATTGTTTTAATTCCATACGCGTAACAGTCATTATAAACATCATCATCATCATTATTATCATCAATCATCATCATCATCAACGAACACATCACAGTCATAGCAAAACATGCAAGTTTATAATTTTTTTATTTGATTTTTTTTTTGTAAAAGGAGTAGAAAAAAAGGAAAAAAAAGACATAAATTATAATATAATGTTTAATTATTATTATTTTTTTGTTTAACTATAATTAATTAATAATGGTTATACAGTTTTTTAATAATTCTAGGGGGTATGGTTAGTGTTGTAATAGTAATTATTGTAATTTTTTAATATTTATGTATTTTTGTTTATAAAAATTAAAACGCAAAACATGCAAATTTTTTATATTTTTATAGTATATAACATTTTTAAAACTAATTTTATACATAAAACCTATGAAAATTAATGAGTTTCAGTTTGTTTTTTTTCGGCTCAGCTTTGTTAATAAATATCAATTATGTTTTTTCTTTTGCATAAAAAAAGTGTAAATTAATTAAACCAGCGCAGTTTTTAATCAAGAATATTTTATTATTATATTTGTATATGTGGTAATCGCGTTGATTTTTTATTAACCAAAGTTATAAATAACATATTATTGTCTATTTCATTTAGTTAAAGTATAATTGATTTTTAATTTAATTGTAATTAAAAAAAGTCGACAAAGATCACCCCTGTATCTTTAAGTCTGTGGTGGCACCCAATCTCTTTACTCTGAGGTATATTTGAGTTATTGTTTTATCCAGGGAGAGGCAAAGAGCTTATACCCATTAAACTACCAAAATTTGTAAGTATTTAGAAATACTTTTATTGAAACTTTTATTTAAAAAAAAAGTATATGAATGAGTTTATAGATTAGTCTACGAACTAGTCTAATGACTCGCCTATAGCCTAGCCTATTGCCTAGTCCATGGAGTAATTTATTGTCTAAAATATGAACTAGTCTTCTAGTTTAATCGTCTATTGAAAAACCTAGGACTAGGCTATTGACACGTTTATTGCACTAGTCTATGGACTAGTCTATTGACATGTTTATTGACCACATTATGGACTAATTTATTGACTACACAGAGGGACAAAAAAATATACACGCCTGGTAAGCTCAAAATCCGTTGTCAATAGTGAGCTTACTACGTTTGTTAACTTATAGACAACGGATGTGCATAACATTTAGATTGCGACAACGAATTGTTACAATGTTGACAACGTTGCGTGATCAACATTACATGATGTTGTTGTATGTATATACTTGATTGTTATTGCTATATATATGTATCTATCTATCTATCTATCTATCTATCTATCTATCTATCTATCTATCTATCTATCTATCTATCTATCTATCTATCTATCTATCTATCTATCTATCTATCTATCTATCTATCTATCTATCTATCTATCTATCTATTATCTATCTATCTATCTATCTATCTATCTATCTATCTATCTATCTACTATCTATCTATCTATCTATCTATCTATCTATCTATCTATCTATCTATCTATCTATCTATCTATCTATCTATCTATCTATCTATCTATCTACTATCTATCTATCTATCTATCTATCTATCTATCTATCTATCTATCTATCTATCTATCTATCTATCTATCTATCTATCTATCTATCTATCTATCTATCTATCTATCTATCTATCTATCTATCTATCTATCTATCTATCTATCTATCTATCTATCTATCTATCTATCTATCTATCTATCTATCTATCTATCTATCTATCTATCTATCTATCTATCTATCTATCTATCTATCTATCTATCTATCTATCTATCTATCTATCTATCTATCTATCTATCTATCTATCTATCTATCTATCTATCTATCTATCTATCTATCTATCTATCTATCTATCTATTCTATCTATCTATCTATCTATCTATCTATCTATCTATCTATCTATCTATCTATCTATCTATCTATCTATCTATCTATCTATCTATCTATCTATCTATCTATCTATCTATCTATCTATCTATCTATCTATCTATCTACTATCTATCTATCTATCTATCTATCTATCTATCTATATCTATCTATCTATCTATCTATCTATCTGTCTATCTATCTATCTATCTATCTATCTATCTATCTATCTATCTATCTATCTACAGGAAAAATATTAGCGCTGATGAAGTTCTTTAGAATTCCAGAATCAAAACTTGTAACTTCAACAAGTTTCTAGTTATTTTTATATCCTACACCACTATAGTGCGGGGGGTATTATGAGTTTGTCCTGATTTTTGTAACACCTAAAAATATTGGTGTTACACTCACTGTAAGGTATACCAATCGTCTCAGAACCACTTTCTGTGTCGAGTTAGCTATGCCCTTCTGTCTATCCGTCCGTCTGTTTGCTCACAAGGTTGGTGTCCGTGTAAACCTTGTGCGCACACTACAGGTCGCAATTTTCAAGATAATTTTATGAAATTTGGCACATATTCTTTTGACCCAAGGAAAAAAACCGGCAAGACTTAGTTTTATATAAGCACAAATGATATTGACGATTTTCGTAATGATCGAGCTTCAGTTGACCCTAGCACCCATACAAAGTCCGCTTCAGTAAATTACTTGAAGCTTAAAATTCACTTATAAAGACTAATATCACACTGATATTCTACATAATAACTTTAATGGAGAAGTAAATCCCACTACCAAAATTTTGAGGATTGGCCCATATTTGGCCTTACCCCCTCTTTCAGAAATTTGCTTTTTGTCAACAAATAAACAACTTAAATGCTTTATTATTTTAAATAATTTTAATTTTTTACATCCAACTCACTAATGTAGGATATCATATGATCGGCCATGATCGACTATACATTCTTACTTGTTTATCTCTGCTGTTGTTGTTGTTTCCCTTAAAATTCTATATACAAAACAACAATTTTAAATTGCATAAGACCACTATATAGAGTACATTGTTGATCACACTCTCTAAAAGAGATTAAGTTGTACTTAAGTTTTTTTATGACTCACAATAATATTTACCAAATTGCTAAAAAGTATAAGTGAGTGTGTGTGCGATATCCTGTTGCTATTGTGGTGGTTGCAATTTTTTATTTCCTGTCTTTGCTCATAAAATATAAAACTTTTTTATTTTGTTATTTATTGTATTTTTCCCGTGAATAACTACATATTAATGTTAACTATCTTTCTTTATTTGTTGGTTTATTTTTTCACTCTCCCTTTCTCTCTTCATGATTATATAATTTGTTCGTTATATTTGTATTTCTTTCACTGCTCTGCATACATACATAGATGCTGAAAAGGATCTATGGCCAGCTATAGTTTATATATTGCATCAGAGGTTCTTATCTGAGGATGCATAAAAATGCATGATAATAAAAGAAGTTATTTTCTGTGTGTTTTTTTTCCAATTTTCATTGGAGTGTTTCAGCATACAATACAACTATTTTGATATGCATAAATTACTTTACAAATATTCTTTTTTAAACAAGAATATCCTTTTTGTTTCGTTTGTTTTCACATTAACAAGCAAAGGATGTTAAAATTTTGCAACAATATTTTGTATTATATATTTGCTGTAACCACCAGTACCTTGATTTCCTTTTTTTAAAAGAATAAGAAAATGGAGAAACAAATTTACATTTTAAAAGAATTTTGATTATATGCTATAAAAAACAAGTGTTATTTACTATATGAAAGAAAATCTTTGGCTAGTGATTAAATAGTTTATATTAAAAAAATATTTAAATTTTCTTTTCTTTTCAAGAAATTAAATTTGTGTTTTTTGTACTTATTTTGATAAACTTTTTAACATAAAACTGATTAAGTTAAAGCTGTTTAAAACCAATATGTTTTCTTATTTTCGTTGAAATCTTAGAAAGTGTGTTAGAAAAGGATCTTTTTACAAAAGGATTTCTTGTGTAGTTTGTCGTCTACTTAACAGCTTTTTTCGCATTTTTAAGCCGTTAAGTGTTTGCTTAAACAAATTGCATTTGTCAGGTAAATATGCTAAAAGAAAAAAAAAAAAAAAAATACAATACACACAAATCTAACTCAACCAACCCTACCGCAACAGCCCGCGGTGGTAGCGACAGGATGCCCATACTATTCTTTAGCAGGATTTGTATATTATGCAAAAGGTAACACACAAATAGCAAAAAAAAAAAAAACTCTCTAAAATAATGCCTTTTGCTATTAACTAGTAACGGAAAACACAAGCCAGTTAAAACAGCTAAATAAATACGTTGAGTCTAAAATGCAATTTGTTTGGGTAAATAATTTAAATTAATTTACGAAAAAAAATTAAAAAAAAACACTTTAAAGAAAAAAATTCTTGAAAATGTTGAAATTTTTTCCAAAAAACGTAGTTGTGGTTTAGTGAAATTGGTTTTAAGTACCACCATTCTAAAAAAATGTATGCTGTGTTTATTTATATTTCAATTGAAATAATTGCCTACTTTAAGGCTTTAAGTATGCTTAAAACAACTGCTGGCCTTTATTTAAGGAGTAAAAATAATATTTTAGGCAAATACTGTTGGAGATTTGGGGAAGAGCAAATAATAGCAAATTAAAGTTAAAAGAAATTTGTGTTAAATTACGTTGAGTGTTTAAAATGCAAATAATAGCAGTAAGAATTTCAGAAATATTTTAAATTCCACACAAAGTCCCGATTATACTCTGTACAATAGTCCATACTATTGTCTATACTATAGCCCAGACCATTGCTCTTATTACAATCTATACTACAGTCCAGACTAAAATCTATACATTATACTAAGTATAGTCCAGACTATTGTCTATACTATAGTCCAGACTATAGTCTATACTATAGTTCAGACTATTGTCTATTCCAGAGTCCAGACTATAATCTATACTATAGTCCAGACTATAGTCTAT